TGAAATTCAAAAGACAAAAAAGTGGAAGGGAGATATTTGACAACCTTTATATTAAATTGCAAATAAAGTTAATTATGCTTAATAGGCAAAACCCAAAATCAATTAACAGTGAAATTGTTTAAATGGACGAATTTTCGATATGATTTTTAGAAATATATTTTTAAATTTACTATTGATTTTCTTGCAAAAAAGTGCAAATGCAATTGTATATGCACACACGTAGTAAGCAGTTGCGAAATTATACCGCGCAGGGAAAAATAATGCGAGGCATAACCCGGAAGTAAATATACTGAGGCTCTCATGGCGGAAAGGATTTTATTTTCGCGTTGTTGGTAAAACGATGGTGTAGCCAAAATTCTCTACTTTGAACGAGGCCGGTTATTGCTCAGTATGTTGAGAACTGTCGACGTGACAAGACGTTTCGTGAACAATTTCAATCCATTCTCTCGCCAAGTGTGATATACACGCCATATTTTTAAACGCATATATGTATGCCTTAAGAGGATAGATCTGTGGAACACTATAAACAGTGCAGAGTGCAATTCAGAATATGAGCAGAGGCAAGCCGATAAAAAAGAAGTCTGCCTGCTTTACCACAATGTCAGACCACACGGCACCCAACATGAAAGACCTGCTCGCCTCTGGTTGTTATTTAGAATCCAACTTTTACAACTTTTTACACGTACTACTTCATCTTCCATCTTATTCCCAGGCCATGAGCTACGAACTGTCAATTTTTTGGCTTGAATCAGCTTCATACTAGTCAATTTATGCATGTTGAATACCTGAACTTCTACTTCTGGCTGAATATTTGCCAAAAACTTGCGCACTGGTATGACACCATCTTTAAAACTACTAGTATTTAGCTACATAGATACTAGTTTGGCTTTTCATTGTAGGGTATGTATTGTATATAGTATGTACACATGTGAGTTTTCATAAATGCACTAATGTGTCATCACAAGTATTTCTATATACCGTATACTTGTACATGTTGGAAGCACTGTACTATTTTAGATGAGTGGTTGCTCTGTTCCGGTCGCTATTGTTTGGAGTGCAAAAGTGCGGGCGCGACGCTGCTGTGCACCTAAGTCCCAAACGTAATTTCCCGAATTCATTGAACTGCGTGAGTGTGAAAAATAACAATTTAGATAAACATTGCGTCGCCATAGGTCGCGCCACTCAGCCACCTTGCTAAGCAGCCAGCCCAGCCAACAGAGCTTCGCGTCAGTCTCCGAGCTCGGCCACATGCGTCTGCTAACCTGCCACAGCAAGCAAGCAATGGAGTGTTGACATTGTGTGCTGGCTCGCCTAGTGTGCCGTCGCACATCGTCACAAACCTATGGAAATTAGTAGCTGACGGTACGTGGGGACCTCCAACCCCACATTAACGGCAACCTAAGTCGGCTTTAGCAATGCCGATTTCTGGCGTCTGCGGCATCGAGGAAGGACATTTGGCATGCTTCTTGTTGTTTGCTGCAGGAGGGTGTGTGTGTGTGTGTGTGAAAGTGCACCGGAGCTTGTTTTGTTGGCGGCGTTTGTGATGCTGTCAGCGGTTGATGTGACACAAAAATCATATTAATATAAATTAACGATGTGGAAAATTTAGTTTAGTAGTGAAAATGGCTGTGGATGATGTTGGTTTGTTTGATCCGCGCCAATGCGAATAGAAGAAGAATCGATGAGTTTGTGTAGATACATACATATGTATGTTTGTAAATATGTATGTATTTATATACATCTATATATGTTTTTCGAATAAATATGTGTACACCGACATAGATATATATACAATATTATATAAGCAAATATCTAAGTTAAGCGATAGAAACGAAGGCTAGGCCATCACGAACACCAAATGTGTTAAGTATAGCACGCCCAATAAACATTTGTCAATGCAAATGCGTAAATCTTTTCTATAAAAAATAGTTGGCGCCTGCTCCTGCATCATTCCTAACGTGTACTAGCACCTTAAGATATGTACATATATTCATTATATAAGTAGCGTGGTACACACTGTATTTTTGCTTATTATTTAATATTAAGTTAGGACTCCACCTCATGATTGCTAACCAACTGTTTGCTTAAATTTCAACTTTTCCTATTTTTTAAATTATTAGTTGTTTAAAAAAAATCCATATAGCAGAACTGGTATGATGAGTGACTTGTAAAGTTCAGTTTTTTTTTTTCAATTTGAGTGATTCCGCTTTGCGTCTCAAGGCTGACATTATAATTAGTGTTAATGCCGGTCCCAACATAGACCAATTTATACATGACTTCAAAATTATGACTGTCAACAGTGACATGGCAGCCAAGTTGCAAGTACGCTGACTGTTTGTTTGTTGACAGGGAATATTTTTTCTTGTCCTCGTCCACTATTATACCCTTGGCTTTTCTCCCTAATATTGCAGAAAGCAGAACTGACTAACTCATCAGCAAATGTCATGTCTACTTAACTTTGCAACTCTTATACATATATCTCTAGCATTAAGTTAAAGTTGAAGAAATACATGATAGAGACAGCCTGTGTCGAAGAGGTCCTTCCCAATTCTGATAGCGCTTTTGTTATTTTACATCGCCAGTTTACACATACGTATAAGTTTCGTAAGGATACTAAATGCATCATTCATTTTCGTCAGCAAATTTACGTTATATGCCGATGTAGTGATATGATCGGCTTCCCAAATTAAGTAAGCGCTAATTTCATAGGAATTGTGAGCTATTTGAACCATATTTAAGGAATAGTTTCTGGCCACTAAGGCCTATTTACTATTTGCAATAAAAAAAGATAAGGGTACGTTTATACGTTTGTTTTTACTCTGCTGGGATCTAAATAAGATTTAACAACGCTGACTCGATAACAAAATATATATTTCTACCAAAGGGTAGTAAATGTGAATTTAACGTAGCGAGAAGTACTTGAATCACAAGCTAAAGTTGGCACACTCTTCACATGCCCATCACTGAATGCGAAATGTATATAAATGAGCGTGTTGGAACAAAGTGAAAGAGTAAATGTGGTATTGGAGTAATATTCGAATTAGCCAAAGACATAGTTGGGAATGTAAAAAGGAGAATATGTGGAGCATAAAAGAAAGTTAGATATTACCAAATTATTTTTGTGCCTGAAAAATATAGCTCAGAGCAAGGTTTATAGTATAGAAGGTTACGGCAAGAGCGAAATCATATGTTTTAATGAAGAAGTTGGTTCAATTTTGTGGGTTGCCGAAGATCTTAAAATAAATTTGCAGAATTTAATCTATAAAACAACGCGAAACTTTCATTATACAATTCTAACGTCTTGTATTCAAATTTTCTAAACTAAAAGTAATCCCAATTAAAGCATCCTGAATAGTTTTATGTCATACAAATGTATTTTAATTTCCAAAAAATATTAAATTATAAAAATTAATATTGTTTTTTACTGAAAATTTCTATAGCTTGCAACTGTAACTTTTATGTCATGTAATACGAATGGCATGAGAAGATAATCTCAAAAACGTTAGAACTTAAATGATCAAAAATAGACGAATTTTATATTTAAATCATACAACATACAGCGCCATCTATTGAAAACTTGCAACATTAAAAATATACATTCATCCTCTTTCAAACGCAGCTAACATCATGTAAGTCGGATGACAGATGTAAAAGTGACAGCCATTTCAATGAAACCAAAACTGTGCTAATGGTTCAAAAATTAAATGGAACAAAGAGCAAATATAAAATTTGTGTCAAACTTGAAAAAAAAAAAATTAATGAAAAAAGCTTATTGTAATGATTGTATGGGTCGTACGCATGTTTATACGTGGTTTACACGATTTAAAAATGGTCGTGAGGATTTAAATATTTAAATGACGACCCTAGAGCAGGACGTCCAGAAACTATTGTAGTAATCGTGCTGAACTGGTAGAAAAAGTCCGTGAAATCATTGGTATCGGTGCAAATTTTACTATGAGAATGTTGGCTGAGGAATTGAGTACGAGTAAAAACACTATTTGGAGAATTTTAACTGAAGATTTGGGGAAAAGAAAGGTCTGTGCGCGATTTGTTCCACATGAATTAAATGACCAAAAAATCGCTCGAATTTTTAATCAAAAAAGGGATTTCTCTCATCGCTCATCCTTCGTATTCGCCTGATCTATCACCATGGGATGAAGGGAGCATTTTATGATGATATCCCAGCCATTCAAGCAGCCGTAACCGAGATACTGAAGAACATTTCTATAAATGACATAAAAAAATCTATGCATGCGCTGGTTGATCGTTCCAAACGTTGTGCTGAGTCAAATGGAATCTATTTTGAGTAAATAATAACTTTCAAAGATAATATAATGTGTATTTTATTTTATATCCAAAAAGTTCGGTTATTTTTGGGACACACCGTGTATGTATATATGTATGTAGGGAAAATGTTTTTCAAAGCTGATTTCCTTCGGCATCAAGCTGTCGCTCTGTGTTCGGCTTGTACGCTTGCACTGCTGCGATGTTCTTACGGCAATATTGTTTTCTTTTGGTATCAATGCTATTGCTCAGCCGTATTCTGTTTGCCCGACAAGGGTGACGAAAATGCAACAGGAAGCGAAGAGAGAATGACGTAAACGTATACAAATGTAAATATAACATTTTCAATTTCGAACTTAAGAAAGTGATGGGAAAATGGTTCTACCAGCTGACGGGATATCACATCATGCATTCCTGATATATGGTGGCTCAAAAGACCGGAAGTCTTCTTGAAAGGATTTAATTGAAGTCAGGTTTTAAATTTTTCTGAATATTTAAATCGTTGGCAAGTTCAGCACTTCTGCTTATTGTTGTCATATTTATAATACTTTATATATTTGAAGCAAGTTTCAATGATGAAAATATAAGAAATAGCTATTGTTACATTGAATTCTCGTATACAGAATTTTGAAATATATTTTTGGAACATTTTTTCTGGTGACGAAAATTAACCAAATTTTTTCTTACTGAGCCAATATAAGACCAATTGTGTGGCGATGACACAACCGAGAAATGACAATTCCAAAGAAGCACAGCAAGAGCAAGGAGAACAAGAGCAAATCGTTAGGAATGGCAGCAGCAATGAATTCCCTGCAGAAGCGATGGTACTGAGAACACATAGCAACAGCGAACTCTTTGTAATTGAATCCGATTCCACTAACCGCCTAACGTTTGGTCAAGGCAATAGGAATATAGCGAACGAAATTCAAACATTGGCTGCGAACGTAGCTGCGGATTCCGTTGGAGCCTTTAGTGTGGACGACGTTTTGATATTGCATTACGAGCCCAATAATAATAACAACAGCAGCCTGTTGCAAAATATGAGCAACCATAACAACAACAGTGTTGATAATCAACTCACACACTTCAGTGGCATACTTATAAGAAACAAGAACAACAACAATCTACGAAGTTGTAATCGTTTCGATCGGGAACAATTGGACACTTATCAACCAAATGAAGGCCAATCCTCCAATTCCGGTAATTTTGATACCAGCATTTCCACAAACAACGCTGACAACTTGCCAATGCGCGATGACGAACCACCGGTTGAACTAGAATCGGAAGCTGATGACGAGGTCGCAGAAAGTGTAGCAGACGAAAGAATCAACGACAATGGTAGTGAGCTCTCGACAATCGATTTGACCACACAAAATAATATTGGCGGCCTTGTGGATGCTGAACTTCAAAATATGGAATTTAATAGACGTGGTCGTAATCGACCCTTGCGTCACGGATGGAGTAGGCGTAGACATCGTGGAAGAAATCGGCGTCATCCATACCGAAGGAATCAAATCGGTCGCACTCTGAGAAAAATGAATACTATTTTGCGGAAAACCGCCTTGACATTAGGACTTCTTGAGTCACTGATTTTACAACAACGTGGCTGACGGTCGGGACCACCGACGGTTTTGTGAGCGGAAGCTCGGTTGTTTTAGATATTTTTTGGAAGCTTTATAAGTGTATAAAACATAAATCGTGCAAATCGTGAAAATTTCGTTGTTTTTATTAACTCCGAAAGAAGAGAACCTTCTTTTTGGACGAGAACCTGTCTTCGGTTATGCCAATGTCTTTATACCTTGCATGAACACATCAAATTTGGAGGCTAAAAACAAAATTCGGCTCGATGATTTTCAGCATCAATGTATATTTGTAGGTGTGTGCGTAGTATATCCAGCTGTACACTCTCAGATGCTTTGAGAATTTTTACCCAAAACTTCGTATCTGAACAAAAGTATGCATGGGAGCTATATAAATGGACTGGTTTGGGGCCATGGCTAAATCAACTCAGCTCATAGTTTTGATATTATTCGGTAATATTTTGGTTAATCTGCCTCCTATCTTTCTGATAGTTACCTACTTCGGACCAAAGTGAGTATACACTCAGTCCTTTTTTTACGCGATCTCTTTTTACGCGAATTTCTCACTTTAACGCGATTGCTTTTTTTCGTTTTTTGCTTATTTACATATTTTTACGCGTAATAATTTTCGAATGTAATAAGGGGAAGTCTCAATAAAAAAAATTTACTCTATGTGTATCAATTATTGCAAATCTAGTTATAATGTATTTAGTTAGCGGCCGGTGCAGTTGTTTTGGTAAGACTTTAAAATATATCTATAATTTTGTAATAAAAATAATAAAAATTTTTAATAAGGAATTTCAATTTTGGCTAGCTTTACAATGGAAGCTAATTCAGAAAAAAATAAAAAACGCAAAGGCATTTCTTTAGAAACAAAAATAAAAGTTTTGGACTATCTAGAGCAGGGAGCTGGCCCAACAAATGTGAGAAAGAGGCTTGGACTCAGTGAATCTACAGTGTGGACAATAAAAAAAATGAAAATGCAATTAGAAAATCTTTAGTTTCCGGCAAAAATGTAAATGCAAAGAAAACTTAATACTCAGGAAATGTTTTTATTGAAGAAATGGAAAACCTATTAACAGTTTAGATTGAGGATCTCAACCAGAAACGAATCCCAGTTGATACTACAACAATAAAACAAAAAGCTCTACGTATTTTTAATCGATTAACATCGAACCAAGTACACAAAAACGAATTTTCAGCTAGTTTATTGAAAGACATAATTTTCATAATTTAAAAACTAAGGGTGAAATTGCTTCAGCTGATAGTAAAGCTGCGCAGAACTATCCACCAAAGTTATTAAAAACTATTCAAGAAGGTGGTTACACGCCAGACCAAGTTTTAAATGCGGACGAAACTGGCCTAATTTTGGAAGAGGTTACCAAAACGAACATATGCGTCTAAGACCCAAAAATCATTAAGTGGCTTCAAAGCCAGCCGATGGATCAAGGCATTATTGCGACTTTTAAAATGTACTACCTCAAAAAAACTTTTCAGTGCATTATGGAAAAACTGGAGGAAAACCCTAAATTGGACTTCACCGATGCTTGGAAAAATTTTTCTATCAAGGATTGCATCTTGTACGCGTCAAAGGCAATTTCTGAAATAAGGCAACATACGTTAAACGCTTGCTGGAAATCTCTTTGGCCATAATGTGTTAAAAGTGGTATGTCCTTGACAAGCAATTCAACTAATTATTCAGATATCATTGATTTAGCAAGCTCCGCGGGAGGAGAAATTCTTGCAGATATGACGAGAGAAGATATTGACGAGATTCTTCTAGACCGAGAGCTCGATGATGACGATTTAATTGAAATAGCTACGGAAGTAATCGAATCGGAAAATGGCAGCGACACCGAGATAGACAAGCATCCAATTAAAGCAGAGACGATTAAGCAAGGTCTTAAACTTGCAGCAGAATTGGAAAATTATTTTGTAGAAAATGATACTGATGCCGAGCGTGTACGAATTTTTCAAAAAGAATTGAGTCTCTGCATGTTAAGATATAAAGAACTACATCGGAATTTATTGGGTCCAAAAAGAAGCATTCAAACAAAATTAACTGAATTTATGGTGCAAACTCAGTCGGAGATGCTAAGTCAATCAGAGCATCAATCCATAGTTCTTACTATTGATTCTGATACAAATTCTAGTGATATCAGTGTAGGTCATCAAAATAAGCGGCTAAGAATCATTTCCACTACGGATAATGACAGTGATTAAACAGCATTCAACGGTATTTTCAATAAATCTACCTATTTTCTATTTTCTTCTCTTTTATATATGGTTTTTCTTTTGTATTTTTTATTTTGTTATGAATGAATAAATCATAAGTCTGAAATTTGAAACTTGTTGTATTGTTTTTTAATATTTTTTTGCCCGTATATTTTGTTATACGCGATATTTTTTATATTCGGAACCCATTCGTCAGTTATTATTGGAAAACTAACCATTAGTGGCAGAACCAATAATCGCGTAAAAAAAGGACTGAGTATATTAATTTATGCAAGGTATTAAAAATTATAAAGGTCGTAAGACGATAAGCGAAGTGAAACGGCCCCAGAAAGGTGTCGGGCTCTTCTTTTCAGGACATGGTAGTATTAAGCAAATACTTAGATACTACAAATTCAGGACATCTTTTCTTATATTACTATTTTCGTTAAAAATAAAAATTTTTTCAACATCAAGAAGCAATAAAATTCAAATTCTGGATATGCTCTAACTAATAATATAAATTTTAGTTTGCAGAATGTGGTCGGACGAAAGCATTCCCGACGATTGGAATTTCAGTGTACTCTGCCCAATCAATAAAAAAGGAGACCCCACAGTCTGCGCCAATTACCGTGGGATAAGCCTCTTAAATATCAAGCGTACTGTGTGAGAGACAAGCACACTGTCGACAAATTGATTGGACCTTATCAGTGTGGCTTTAGACCTGGTAAGTTAACCATTGACCAGATATTCACCATGCACCAAATCTTGGAAAATACCCGTGAAAAAAAGATCGACATCCATCACCTCTTCGTCGATTTTAAAACCGCTTTTGACAGCATGAATAGGAGCTGCCTTTAAGCCGCTATGTCTGAATTTGGTATTCTCACTACACCTACATGGCTGAGTAAACTGACGCTAAAAAATACCAGAAGCGCAGTCAGAATTGGACCTTTCCGATCCATCTGGTACCAAACGAGCAAACGAGGTTTCAGACAAGGCGACTGTTTGTCGTGTGACTTATTTAGTTTGATGCTGGAGAGAATAATAAGAGCTGCAGAGCTGAATAGAGAAGTGTGAACAGAGTGTACAGCTGCTGGCGTACATCGATGATATTGACATTATCGGCCTCAACAACCGCGTCGTTAGTTCAGCTTTTTCCAGGCTTGATAAAGAAGCGAAGCTAAAGGGTCTAGTAGGGAACGAGGGAAAGTCGATATATTTCATGTCATCACACAAACAGTAACCACATTCGCGACTCGGCTCCCACTTCATTGCTGACAGTCATAAGCTCGAAGTCGGAGATAATTTCGTCTATCTAGGAGCTAGCATTAAACACCAATAATAATGCCATCCTCGGCTATTGAAAAGTTAAGTTCTCTCCCGACGAACGAAAACCAAACTCTATATCGACGATGATAACATCTGATGAGTCGGCGTTAGGAGTTTTCGAAAGGAAGGCTTTGCGTAAGATACATATATATATACGGCGATTATCGCAGACTATGGAACAATGAGCTGTACGAGTTATACGGCGACATTGATTTAGTTCAGCGAATCAAGAAGTAGTGGCTACGCTGGCTCGGTCATGTGACGGATATTTAATACTCCAGCTTTGAAAGTTTTCCTTGCGGTATACGCCGGTGGAAAGACCAGGTAGAGTAGGACCTGGCTGTATTTGGTATTTCTAATTGGTTATAATCGCGTAAGCGGTGTATACGCTAGTGAAGTAAAGTAAAAGAGTGAAGGAATAAAGGGCTTTATCAATTCATAAGATCCTTCAAAAAATAAAGCGAGGATACATACGTTCAAAATTTCTGTTGTTTGAATTTCGAATTTTTTTTTTCATTTTTCCCCAGTAGATCATGTCGTTCAAATATATTATATTTTAAGAGAGCCTAATTAGTGGCATGAAATAAATTAAATTTGCTCTTATACCCTCAAGAGCTTGTCAATTTAAGAATTGTCGTTTGAATTCTGTCCGAACCCACAGTTTCTATGGCAAATATTTTAAAGGTTCCCATATTCTTCTTGCTTTCAATTAGTTTTTATTGCACTTAATGTAAATTCGAAATGAATCGTAATACAATTTTATTATACATATATATATATACATTTGCATAAACAAGCATACATACGTCTGTGTAAAACTATCAACGTACCGCGTGCGGCAACAAACCTTCAATTTATAACAGAAAACCAATTTATTGGTGTGAAAATCATGTGAAAAATGAAAACCTGAATCATGTGAAAAACGTAATATAACCCAATCAAATCACAACAAATTGTGTTTGTTATCACAATTGAAGCAAAACACATCTATACATATATATGTATTTATATTTATCGATTTCTATAGTCTACATAAGTATAAGAATATACATTTCTGTCTGGAAATAGTAACAACAAAACGGCTCAAAAGTAAATTCTGACTTTCATACCATTTGAATAAGATATTTTTTGAAAAAAAATGCTATAAAAAAGTAAAATCATAGTAATACGATTAATTCAAGTCGAAAAAAGAAAAATGAAACGAAATACAATATCATACATATACATATACAAAGCAATAAAATATATCACGTCTACAACTTTGCTTCCGCCGTTTTTTTTTTTCCAAAATTAAAAACTTTATTGCGAAAAAGTGCTTACAGATATATTATTCAAAGTATTGTCCTTCGCTAGCGACAACTTTCTCCCATTTTTCCGGCAATTTTCGGATCCCGGCTCGAAAAAAGGAGTCCTCTTTTGACGCTATCCATGAAGCAAGCAATTTTTCCAATTCTTCGAAGGATTGAAAATGTTTTTCTGCCAGGCCG